CGGACGACAGGACTTCATCCGCCGCCGCATTGCGATGGGTGTCCCCATTGCCTCGCCCGCCGGTGAGGCCGTGTACAAGGGAGAGGTCGTCATCGAGAACTTCCAGCACAGGCGACAGGGGGGAGGAGGAGGAAGAAAGAGGAATCGAGGGACGTCGACTGACCACCTCACCGATCCTGGCCAGACCTATCCTGGGCCCTGCGCCAAGGATCGGTGTGAACGCGGCTGGCTTGGCCATGGGGACATGCACCCCGATGCTTGGCCCAGTATCAACGAGAGCCTCGACTTCGGGCGGATTCGATCCATTCGGTCCCGCGGCTCTCCTTCTATTGATGCCTGCGGGGACCGCGCTCGGGCCCCGGGACCTTCAAAAATTGTATTGGGACGATGAAGAACCCCCAGGCAAGGGATCGAGACCTATGAGGCCCGCGGATCGAAAAGCAATCCGTCATAAGCCGGGAAAGTGAAGAGGAGGAAGAGGAGGAGATGAGGAGGAGGACCTATGTAAACCCAAGACGCATCAACGATGTTGGAACAAACCCTCCCTCCAAGCTCCCTCTTCATATGCCACTACGAGGACTTATCTCCACTGGGGGAAGCGCCCCGTTGGGAGACAACCGTTTGCAGATCCTGACGCGCGCCACAACGCCATCCTCGAAACTCAAACGCCACGAATCAACCTGACTCTTGCGTCTTGCCGGTCCTGAGCCGTGGCAGAACATGAATATGTCCAGATGGTACGTTACTCCAGATTTCGTAATAAAGGGAGGGGGGTCTCATTTCGGGGGGGGGTCTCTTCCAGGCTATCTTGGAGGGCCTGGGGGGGTCTGGGGACGATGTTCTGGAGGGTTCTCCCACGGGGGGGGGTCTAAAACTTCTCGTCTGGGAGGGTTGAGACCCCCTCCCTTTTATTACGCAACCTGGAGTACGTTATCCATGCGAACCCGCGGCGCTAACGTGCGCAGCGCTGAGGCGAGAGCCACATTCTGACAACGGAGCGCCCTCAATCCGCGGAACTCCTGCAACTATCTCAGGCGAGCGTGCGCGGCGCTAGGGCGAGAGCCACATTTTGAAAATAGCCCGCCATCAATCTGCACGCACGAAATGGGTATTGAAAGAATGGGTACAATGCCAAACAGCGGATCTTGTTCATTTTGAACAGGAGTCGCTGTCCACGCCGCCGCGGCCTGTGTCCACTTGAGACAGGGGGCCGCCTGCCCAACAGCGGCCGCTGTTGGTTTGGGACAACATTTGCTGTTGGGCATAGTACCCATTTTTTCGGTACCCAGTTCGGGCGTAGGGCGAGAGCCACATTTTGAAAACCGCCCGCCATCAATCCGCGGAACTCCTGCCATCTAAGTCGAATGTGCACGGCGCTCAGGCGAGAGCCACACGTTGAAAACCGCTCGTCCTCAGTCCGTGACACTTGTCACACATGCTTGAGACCAGCGTGCGCGGCGCTAGGGCGAGAGTCACATTTTGGAAGCGGCCGCCCTCCATCTGGGACATTGTTGCCAACTGACCCGTATGGCGCTCTCAAGCCCGTGCCGTCGGTCTAGTTTTCTGCTTGCGGGGTCTTTTCAGGATTGTTCTTGACTGAAATGGCTCAGGAATGAAGTTCGCAAGTGTACATGTGACACACTACTGACTGCAATGCTGTGCGATAGGCGAGTAGCTACACATGCCGATGACTATCAAAAATCCGCTTGTACTGGTGAGGAAGTCTCAGACGAAACACTGAGCCCGCCTTTTCGACCAGCCTCGGGGTGCGACAGGGAGGAGTTACTCATGAGGAAAAGGACTGGAGGATACAAATGCCCTTTTTGGTTGCATTCTGACCGCAGGCTGCCGGCCCGAGGGAAGGAGTTCGCTTTTGTCACAGACGTGGACGGCGGAGTCAGACGGCGTCTGGTGCACGCAGTTGTTGGGGCGCATGAGCTTGAACGCTCGCTCTGGAGCAACATCTTGACTCGTGGAAGCTGTCACACTTCCTGCAGCGTTCCTGCAAATGCCGAAGTCTGAGAAAGCCGTCGAGAGGCACATCCGGGGCACTGCAAGTCCGGGCGCCAGGGGGGAGCCGGAGGAAGATAAGCCCTTCTGCTCCTCCTCCCGCTCCTCCTCTCCCTCCCATCCCTTCCCCTGCCTCTCGGCGCCTCGCCTCGTCACCACCACCCCACCTCACCTGCCCTCTTCCAGGCCCCTCCGGTCCGAGAGCGGCGAGGGGCCGGGCGCGTTCCGGGAGCTGCCAGGGAGGAGGAGACGGGACGCTTGTGCCTCAGCTCGGTGGCCTCGGGCCCCGCCAGTTGATCCCCCTCCCTCATCTGGCGCACCGCCACCTCTCGCCAGAATCAGGGCTGCCTGCGCGACGGGGTGCTTCCCTCCCTCCCGTCCCTCCTACTGTTCGGGAGGGTAAGCAAAACTCACACAGACGCAGATCGTCGTCGACTCCCGGGAACCTGTGGGAACAGATGGGAAGTGGTGGGGAAGACCAAACTCGGGAAAATGCGAGAACGCACGATGAGTCTTGGGATTTGTGTGTATACTTCTCTGTGTGTCCCTGGGCCCCTTCATACAGTCAACCCGCATAGTAAGGATGGGTAACCTTCCCAAGGGTACCCTTGCATCCTTGCCTCCTCGGTCCATCCTTGGCCACTTTCGTTGGCCGTGCCCCGCTCGAGAAGTCTCGAGATGGCCCTCCAAGGCCCTTGCATCCTTATCGCGCATCCTTACTATACGGGCCGACTGTATTGCGAAGGCCTTACGGCCGGTGCCGCCGACCCTGAAGACGAAGCTGTCTGTGACGCCGTAAAGGCCGAAACGTCGTATATGCTAGAAATGTAAGTTTCCGATGGAAAAGTAATGAGTGTGGCCTCTTGGGCCCTTCTTGGGGGTGCTCTTGGAGGGGGCCTGGGACGTCTTGGAGGCTTCTTGGACGGTCTTGGGGCTATCTTGGGCATCTTCGGCCGATCTTTGGGCGACTCGGGGCACTTTTGGGCCGTCCCCGGGGCCATCTTGGGCATTCGGACCTCATTTGGAGTGTTTTCGAGGTTTCGAGGCCGCCCGAGGAAAAACGAATGTGCCCCCTCACCCCCCCCCCACCCCCCCACCCCACCCCCCCTGGGACCCCCCCCCCTGGGGAAGGGATCAAAGGGAAGGGGCTTCCCTTCGAATCGACAACGGCATGACGGCAGGAGGGTACGGCCCAAAAAGAAAAAACGGGGAAGGAAGAAGGGGGGCGGCGAGGAACGGACGAGGAAGCCCCTCGCACACGCCGACAGGGTCGGCGGATTTCTTTGTGTGTCCCTGGCCCCCTTTGTATTGCCACTCCCGCGCAGAGACGGATGGCCTTCGGGACCCCCGGCGCTGGGCGCGACCGCGCGCGGCGAAGCCACCCGCGGGGCCCCTGAGGGCCATCCGTCCGCCTTGCCTGCACCCCGCGGCGCTTGGAAGGCGGGGCCCCGCCTCCGCAGGAGACACCGCGGTGCAGGAGGAGGAGGCGGAGGCGGAGGAGGCGGGGGAGGAGGAGGAGATTGAGGAGGAGGAGGAGGAGGAGGAGGAGGAGGAGGAGGAGCCGGAGGAGGCGGGGGAGGAGGATGAGAAGGAGGAGGAGGAGGAGGAGGAGGAGGAGGAGGAGGAGGAGGAGGAGGGGGAGGAGGAGGAGGAAGAGGAGGAGGAAGAGGAGGAGGAGCAGGAGGAGGAGGAGCAGGGGGCGGAGGGAGGCGGAGGAGGACCACCGCCGAGCCTGGTTTTGGCCGTCCTGGGCCCCCAGGGTGGTGGCGTATGTAGACCCTGCGGTCCTTGAGCGGGAGGGCGCACCCTGAGATCAGGGCGGTGCTTTGTTTTTCGTTTTGGCAGGGAGGTACGGGAGAACAGGTATGGCAAAGCGAAAAACAAAACGAAAACAAAATAATAAACAACGTTTAGGTCCAGCCCTGCCTGAGATCCTGGCAACTTCATGTTGGCGAGCCGGGCGGTTTCGCATCATTTCGGGCCCTGTGACCCTCACAGATCAATCCAGCTCGAAGAACGACTCCTAGATCCTGTAGGCCTCTTAGATGGGGTCGAAGTAGATAGGGTCGGAGGATCGCGCCGCATCGCTGAAGCACCACTGATGCGGCTCGATGTGGAGCCCGGCTTTCTCCACGCCGACGGCGCCGAGGCATCGCCGACGTCCACGATGCATCGCAGATGTATCAGCGGTGTGGCGCGATCCTACGACCCCAACTACTCTTATGTCGGGGCGTGTCCCCCTACAGGGGGACTTCCGACGAATAATCAAAAATATTCCAAAAATGATTCTAATAAAAAAAAGTCCCAGCATAGTCTGGGGACTATTGTTTGAGTATAGTTTGATTTTGTTGGGGGTAGTTTTCCCGACCAACCTGTGTTGTTGGGTCCTCGTTTTGAAGAGACGGTCCCCGCGTTTCTCCTCCTCCTCCTCCTCCTCCTCCTCCTCCTCCTCCTCCTCCTCCCCTCATCCTCTTCCCCTCCTCCTCCTCTCCCCCCGCCTCCTCGTCATCCTTCCTCATCTCCTCCTCATCCTCCTCCTCCTCCTGCCTCCTATCCTCCTTCCTCCTTCCTCCTCTCTTCCTCCTCCTCCTCCTCCTCCTTCTTCCCTCCTCTCTCCTCCTCATCCTCCTCCTCCTCCTCCTCCCCTCCTCCTCCTCCTCCTCTCCTCCTCCTCCTCTCTCCTCCTCCTCCTCCTCCTCCTCCTCCTCCTACCTCCTCCTCTCCTCTCCTCCCCCTCCTCCCTCGCCTCCTCCCTCCCCATTATTCCCTGCGTTTCCCCCTCCCAGCACAGCGCTTCGTAGCCCCATAGGGAGCTCCACGGAAGGCCCCAGTGCCACCGTCCACATGCGTCCCCCCCACTCAGTACAGCGCTCCGTGGCCACATAGGGCGCTCCACCGAAGGCTCCAGTGCCACCGTCCACAGGCGCCCCCCCCACTCAGTACAGTTCTTCGTGGCCACATAGGGAGCTCCACCGAAGGCCTCAGTACCA